CCCCAAAACCCCAAAACCCCAAAACCCCAAAACCCCGCGACTTAATGCAATTATTGAACTCATCTATAAATCTGCCTTATACATTACTTCCAAGAAGTAGGAGCTATAGGAAAGACTCCCATCTGGACTCTTAGGAATATTTCATTAACCCCAAAGTATGAAGTTTAAGTACCTTCAAAAGATGTCTATCTCAGTGGCACTGATAGCCACTCTTCTTCTAAAAACTTAAAATAAAAAAGCTAAGCCGGAGTCCATACTTGAATTTTAAGAAATGTGTCAACTGATTCTGAGGCCTGAGTTTACTCAATGTATTATCTAAGAAATTGGAAATACCACCAGGCTTTTACTGAAGTATCAATACCGATTCAGTCAATATCCTCTTGACATTTCCTTCTCGAAACCCATTAGGTATCGTCCAAATTCGACGATGGGTTTCTAACTTATTTACAACAAGAGAAATCGTGACAAATACTCTGATTTTGGGCCTTTGAAATTAAGAAAGTTTCAAGTAAAAGTCACCTAGATTTGTACGGAAGATGGCCAAATGTTCTGAGTCAGGATCTAAAACTCTTGAGGCTTAGAAGAAATGGTTTTGGAGCATCCCCTATTGGTGGCCTGATCCTTTATGCCATTTGTATGGATTTCAGAACTTGCATAGACTATATCTTGGAATAAATTTACTCCTCTTTGAGATCAGAGATTCATCAATGAAGTTTCATTATTAGTCTTGCAATAATGGAGTAGAGAGTTGGAGGAATCAAGATGGCCTTTTGTCGAAGACCAATCTGATTCTTTTCTACTTTAAACATAATAACATATCTAAATTTATTTTCAGATGCTGACAGTCTTACAGGGACGAGAAAATTATTTAAAGTCTTCCTTCTTTCATAGAAATATTGCATCTCAAACTTATGATAAGTTTGTAGTTATCCAACCTCCAGAGGATACATATTGTGCGCATACTCAAATGCAATATGCTTGGAACTATAAGGGATTTGATCCCCTTCTGTTTCTTGATTATCTATTCTTGCATTGAGTCTCCAGTGGTTATAATTGTCCACAGGAAAATTAAAACAACAAATGTTCTAGAAATTTTGGGACCCAATGAGAAAGAACTTATTTTCAGATTTCTCTTTTATTACATTTTTATATGAACCTTATTAATTCTTGGTCTATGACAATTTCTAGTCTTGTCTGGTCCAATAGAGCAAAAAGGCGGCTAAAACTTGGCCAAATTTTGAGAACTAGCGAAAAAAGATATGAGGCATCTAGCTTAGGTTTGGAAGTCTCTTGGATAATTACATTCAAGTTATGCAAGCTCTCTTGAAGATTTCTATTGGTAGGACCTCATCATTTAGTCGCAGAGTAATGGTTTTGACTAGGAGATCAGGAATTTCGGCCTCAGAAGATGCAGACAAAGCACTTGTATTCATTAAGAATTTGGAGAGTCAAATCGATGAATCTAAAATATTACTAATTCCAAGAAATTTTTGATAATAATTTCCATGAATCCCTCTCTCAAGAGTAAACCTGGATGATACAGTGAGTCTAGGGCGTAAACATGGAGGTCATTGCCAAGTTACTTAGTCTCACTAGGTCTCTACAAAGGGAAAGTTTGAGAACTTGGTGTCTCCCACAATCGCATCACCAAAAGGAAGAGTCTTGATGATACGCATTAAAATATCTATGGGACGTCTTTTTTTAAATGTTTTGGCAATCATGGGAAGTTGGTACTGGAAGAACTAAAACTTTCAGTCCATCATTCCATTGATGTCTATTTATTGTTGCATTTTTAGCCAAGCAGGGGTCATCCTAGCCCAAGATGGTAGATGCCTAGTCTTTGCCAACAAGTTTTCTTTTCAGACAGACCCGAATGAAAATGTGACTAAATTATTATTTTCTTGATCTATGGCTAAATGTGGCTAAAATTGCCATTACAATAATACATCAAATTCAAAATTTGTCCTTTGAGTCCAGTTTTAATCTCCAGTCTGATACTTTTGAATATTTGAGATGATCAGAAATCATGAAGGTTGCATTTCATCCATGAATCACTAAATTTTCATCAAGAATCCTGGCTGGCCTGACAAATTATCCGATTAGTTACTCAACCTTGCTGTACAAACTTAGACGACGATCTGATCTCCAGGAGAGCCCTAAGTGTGGAGTTGGGGTTTTATCACTCTGTTATGGCATTATTGCTCTTAAAAACACTTGCTAAGTTTTTCTCTTGTTGGAAAAATGATTAAATTTTGATTCACGAACTATTTTATTAAAAAATAAGTTAACTAGTTTACTAGAGCAGGGCTTTAGCAAGAAACTTAAAGGACATCCCAGAATAAGATAGACTAGCTCTTCCAAGAATATTATGAGGCCCTAAAAAGCAGCAAAAGATCCTATCCAATACCTGTAAGGGTTATACTAATCCATTGATGGCTAATTTCTCCATATTGTGCATTCAGAAATCACTAGACTTGGCAAGCTGGGATATCCTCTAAAACTAATCGGAATATGCACATAATTCATGCAGGAATATTGGCAATGAGTCCATAATGTTTTGACTTCCAGAAGGAAGACCCTCTATATGGTCATCAGAGGTTACTTCATTTTGGACTGCTGCTTAATAAATTATTCATAGTGCTTGCAAGAGGTTTCGAGAAGCAACTCTTTGTTCAAAGTGGAAGAGGATACCTTCTTATTTATAGTGAGAAGCTCTGATCATTATCCAACTCATAAACTGGCTATAGAAATCCCACATCTTCAGAAAACAGTCCTATTTTAAATGTCGGAGAAGAAGATTTTAAACTAAAGAGGTGTACTCTTGTTGGATGTGGCAGAACTCAGACCAGAGTTGTTGCAGTTCTGGCGTTGTAGGCAAAGAATTTGTTAAAATTTTGCACACATTTGACCATCTCTATTGACGACGAAGTATTCTGATTAAAATTTACTGCTAAAAATATTTCCTAGTAAGAACTCTAGGAGTAAAGAGAGGCAGATACTATTTTCTTCAAGTTTAAACTATAAAATTATTGTACAAATGTAGCTAATTACAAATAATTGGGAGACTTATGCAGTTATCATACCACCAATAATTTGCCTTGAGATAACTTTTTATCACAAATAACTCTTGTTGACCTATGACTTACCAGTTTATTCTGAGCATCTAGATCCAGAGTAAGCCCAGCTTATCTCTCTCAGTACCCAAGTCGCTAAGTCGAGAGTTTTATGGCTCTCATTTGTTGCTAACTTAGCCTTAAAAGGGTATCCTAAAATTTTCTCCAAAAATGCTCTTATTTTCCTCATAAAATTTCCAGAAATAGGCTGACAAATATCAGAAGAATATAGTAAAATGTTTCTCGATATTAGTAGAGTCTAAAAGCTTATTTTACCACTCTCGCTTGCATGCCTGCCAAAGCTAGTCACAGACTTCCTCTGCATGAATTAGTAAACTACTGAAAATTTAAGAACATTAAGTTGGAGGAAGCCTTACTCAAGTTCAGAAACTAAGCCTAGCGAATAACAGTTCTGATGGAGGACCTGGCTATCCTAGTCAGACTGGATGGTTTGGTTTAAATCTCCCAAGTGTTCGTATGAAGAACAAAATTATAGGAGTCACTATACTTATAAGAAACTGGTTACTGTACAACAATAACAACTTGCATGAGAAATTGGAGGAAAGACATCCCATAATTTAATAAAACAATGAAGCCTCAGAGCAAGGCAGCATGCTTCATTAATTTTTATTCAACTGTCCAAGTTGGCAGGTATATCGATATAAGTCCTAGACTAGACGGGAAATTTTGCATGAACTTTATTGGAATAATACTCAGAAGATTAAATCATAAGAAACTGCAGGATCAAGAATCACTATTTATTACAAAGAAGAGGATGGACTAATATTATTAAGAAGACTCACTTATCGATTTAATGACGCCATCAGAGACTGACCAGATCTAGCAATGGTTTCTTGTAGTGTTCTTATATAACTTCGTTTAGGTTATTTTATAGCCAAGAGGAATAATAATATCCAAATATTAATAAATAGTGATTCATGGTTCGATTTCAAAGAGGTGGAATCAGAACTTTTGCCAATACAGTGAGGCTCAACTCCAATATTTTTGCATAAATCTAAGCCTTGCTGCTTTATAAGCTTAAATTGCCACTCAAATTTTATCATGGCCTATCAAATTTTCATATTTTTCTAAAAATAGCTCCTCCATCAACCTTAGTGACATATTAAGTTTCCAAGTTTACTCATGGCATTGTTGTCATAGAGACACTTGTGACCAAAGCTTTGCTTTCAGATGCTCTGCTTATCAGGAAATGAGCTGGAGCAATCTTACAGATCAACTTCGAAAGAGTTCATAAATTGAATTATGAATAAACAAGAAGATTATAAATATCTAGGTTTTCTTTGGACCTCCGGCTAATATTTGCCAAGGTGATATGAGCAAGCCAACCAATAGAATTTCTCCAGTGCTTAGCATTAGCTAGGATGAAGTTCATAGTTTTGCTAAAAGAATCTGACAAAGTTCAAAGTCTGGCATTTCCAACAACCTACTAATGTTGCCAAAATGGAAACTACAAGTGTAGGTATATCTGGCAATAAGAATTTGGGATGGAATCTCTCCTAAATTATTAGCAGCCTGCTTCGAAGTTGTTTGCCTCGAAGATACAAGAAATTATGTGCACTATAGAAATTTAGTCATAAGATGAAGAATTATTAAAGGTTTTGGAATTTGAGAAACAAATTTGAAAATTAGGAATTATTCACAAAAGAAGTTTGAGAATGACTTTAGAGAAGTATTTAGAGAATCTGATTATAATAATTAGCTTAATTTAGCTCTGAAAGGAGAAGCCTCAAACACTCCTCCTTTCTGGTTGAAGCTTTCCATCATTTCGAAGATATCTTCGGCTCTCCATGAAAAGTTGGTAGGAGCCTTGTCGTTGTGCAGCATCAGCGAGTAGAAGTCGAAGGTGATCGCTGCATCGACTTCGAGAGGGTAGCTGCCCACATAAGTCTTCTTTCCTCCAACCACGATCAGGGTCTGATAGTTCACCGAGTTCTTGGTTACTCCTGTGAACCTGGTTCTTCTCTTGCTGACTCTTTTAGTTTTGCAAACATTGGATTTCTTCTTTGCCTGCACAAAAGGAAGGCTTGTTCCTAGTAAGGGGAACAGCTTAGCTTTCAGTTTTTCTTGATGTTTAGAGAAGTCATATGTGTGAATTGTCTTTACTTGCTTCTGATATTTATATTGAGATCTCCCAGAAACAGGCATCATTTGTTGTAATTGGCTCTGGAGTTCACAAAGACAGAAGTCGCTGAAAATATTGAAGATTGGATTCATTTAATTATGATAAAATTCTCTATATTTATATGCTATCTCGGGGTTTTGGGGTTTTGGGGTTTTGGGGTTTTGGGGTTTTGGGG